TATAATATTAATGATTTAATATAAATATAAAATATAAATTATATATTTAAATAATTTAGCTATTATACGAGCAAAAATAATTTAGTTGTTATAACTTTTAGTTATATAAAAAAAAATACATTCTAAAATGTGAAATATAAGATTTTTTTATGCATAAAAATTTTAATGACGTGAAGAAAGCTCTAACATAAAAATTTATGAAATATAAGAATGTACTTTAAGTGATTTCGAATTAATTAATGACTTTAATACTTGATTCTTATTCTTGAATTTGAAATGAGTTAGGGTAAGTCTTGACATGATAATATTTGGGTCAATTTATTTATCGACTTAAGTTTGATATGACTTTCTTTTCTTAAGTTATAATTAAAATTAGTGATTTATTTTGTTAATTTTGATTACATGAATCAATATTCTATTTTTTTTAATCTTATACATTTTAAAATTTTAATTTAGTAATATATTATAGATAAATAATTGTTTTTTTAATGATAAAACATAACTTATCTTATAAGTTTTGAAAGATTACATGATCGATTCCATAGCATGATTACAACTAATTTTTTTTAAAATTTAAATTACTTCACCTTACATAAAATAATATAAAACTTAATTCATAACCATAAAATTCCAAAATATTCACTTTTTTATTATTATTCACTTATAACTAAGTTTTTGAAAGTTTTTAGAAATTTTAATAAATTGAATTAAGCAAATCAAATTATTCATACCTCAAGTTCAATTCATTTATTTGTTGAGCATAATCTTTAACTCATTTGGTTCATAAACTAAGTTAATTAGAGACTAAATTATACTTTTGGTTCTTTATCCTTTAAATTATAGTCAGTTTGGTTCTTTGTGATATGTAACTATTATTTCTACCATTTGTGAGTATCCATAACATGACTTTTCTCGATATAAATATATATGTAGAAATTATTGTCAATATTAGAGAGTTCTTGACTTATGATTGATAAGTATATTGCAAAAAGTATTCATAGAGAGGACAATATTGTTGTTTATGGATTAATTGAATGAATAACCAGATTTAGTTTGACGTTTGTTAAATGGAGGAGTCCTCCAAATTTCATTTTGCATGAAGTTGGTTTAGATTTCACATAATTCTTTTTGTTTGTTTCTATTCATCAATATACCAAAAAATAATAATTATTTTCAATTTTGAGAATCAAGACACGACTTTGAACCATTTTTTCTGATTGATTTAAATCTAAAACTTGTTTCATTAGATTCACTTACATGAAAATTATTGAACATTGCATATATTTGAATTAAAAAAAAAGTCTTATACACAATGAAAATTATGTGAAAAGGGGTCTAAACAGCAAAAAAAAAACTAATATCAATTTTTTTTAATTGTTCCTGTGATATAATTTTTTATGTAATTTACACTAAGTTTATTACACTTTTGTTTTGATTTTGAATATTAACTAAATTTCATGATTTTCATATAAGTGAATATAATAAAATAAAAATTTAAAATTGTTACAAAATTGAAAATAATAACTATTTTAAAAATATCAAATTTAGATAAAGGTCAAAATAAATATTTTTAAAAAATAAAGATCAAAGTGAATATTAAAAATAAGATAAATTATTAAAAATAAATTAATTTTTGAGGTGGTTAGTTGTAACTAATCCAAATCCTTTAAAACGTGTTTATAATTAATTAACACAGTAATATTACGGATAATAATCTCTCTCGTGAGTCGTGAAGGATTCTGACTTTTCAGAGGTGAATCCCAATTCCAAATTCCCGTTTCCCGTTGCCACGAGTTGTGAACATCGCAATGCAACAAAATAGGAGCAATATAAAAGTGGGTAAACCAATAGACACACGCCTTTTTTGTGTTGCGGTCTTCCAAGGTGGAGCGTGAGCTCAAACACACAACACCACCTGCCTCTGGTCTGAGACAAGACAGCCTTGTTCTTTCCAAGTTCCAACCCCGCTTTTCTGTTTCCCGCGCGACAGAGTGAGGAAAACAACGACAAAGCTCAAATTGCACGTGCCTTTCTCCTTCTCAAGTAAACTTTCATCCTTAATTCTTCCATATTCTGCAGATTTTGGAATTTCGTTTCCCCTTGTTACTTCTCTTCTGTGTAAATTGAATGTTCCGACCTCTGCAGTTTTTGTTGTGCTAGATTAAAAATGTGGGGATTCGGTGGTAGATATTATTGGGGGAGAAAAGTGGACTGTGATAAAGCCGATGGGATTGTTGTCGTGTTCGCATGGATGTCGAGCGAGGACAGGCACTTGAAGAAATACGTCGACCTCTACTCATCTGTCGGCTGGAATTCCCTCGTTTGCCATTCTCAATTCCTCAACATGTGAGTTCTTATCAACTTCATAACTTGTTATCAATTTCAAGGGTTGATTTTCTAATCAAGGATTATTACTCCACACTTTAACCCTTCTAAAGTAGAAGTCAAATGTGAGAAGACCAGGTTGGTTTTAGGGCTTGTTTCCATAAACTTATCCAGAAACATTTAAAAGAGGAAAAATAGAAAGAAAAAATAAAACAAGCTTTTTCTACAAGTTAAAACTAGCTTACACATGCAAAAACTAATTTGTAATTTTTTTTTTTGGAGAAACTATATGAGATAACTCCTAAAAATTGATTTATACATAAGTCAAATTTACTTTATACAAAAGCTTATTTTTATTTTTTCTATATTTTTTCTTCCAAAAAGTGTTTTTTTTGGAGAAGTTTATCCAAACAAACTCTTATTATACAAATACACCAATTCCATACATAATCAACTCCCTTACGAATGAATAATAAACCTTTGCCACCAAACATACTGTAGCCTTTACTGATGCTTAAACCTCATTATCCAATAGTAGGGGTGCTAAGTGGACATTTCAAGCCTAATGATTTCAAAGCAGAAGAGGAATGGGACATTCCAAGCTAAGCATTGCTGGTTTGAACTATTAGTACCTGGCCTTTGTTTAACTGGTATAATTGAAGATTGAAGCCTGATCACAATTTAAACTTTCAAAAAAATTGAGGTGGGGATAGGGGAGGGGGTTCTCTCTGTCCAGTGTAACAACTTTTTGGTTGCTGATGGAACCGTCACATAATACCTTCATGAAGTGTAATGAGTAGGAGTAGTGCTTTTATTTTTAGGACTATAAAATACACAACACTACTCGTTGTTTGCTGGTTGGCCCAAAGCATGAAGCACTTGTATATCTGGATGTTGTGTTTATCAGCTAACCTTGCCTTGAAATGTTATCCTGACCAACAAAGTTAGGTGAAGCTTCACTCAAATTTGTGATTCTACGAATCGAATGTTCATTTACAGTTTATAAATTAAAGCAGTTTGGATGGAAGGGGTTCTTATTGCAATTGTTGGAAGTTTGAGTGAAAATTTATTTTGTTAAAACCTTGGCATCATTTAATTGATGAATCACAAAGGTCAAAGTTGTAGCTGTTTATTTGCATTTTAGTTGCCTTTCTATTTTATTTGAAGCATGAAAACTTTTTAGAAAGGTGATGGCATAAGCTGGAGGAGTTAATCTTCAAATGTTCAAATCTCTTCTTTAAGGGGTTTATCGGGGCCATGATAAACTAATGCTAAGTTTGCTTAATTATTTTAATTAAAGTTTATGTTTAGTTGTTAGGTAAAATGGTCTCCAGCTGCTTTGAGATTTTATTTATTTTCCATGAGATGAGGTCATCAATACTTTGGTTCTTTGCACATCTCAATGTATACTAAATGATGATTATGACATTGCTATTATTTGCAGGTTCTTCCCTGAGAAAGCCACAATTCTTGCTGTTGATATTCTTAATGAACTTGTTGAGGTAAGTTTTACTGTAGTCCTCTATTTTATTGGTCGGTCGTGTGAATAAAAGTTAGCTGAAAGCCTCTTTTTAATTAATTCTGAACTGGTTTACAATTCGTTGATCTTGATTAAAATTTGCAACAAAGTGAGTCTGGATGAGATACAAAGCATTAGTGTAACATCTATTGTTCTCTTTTATCCCATTGTTTAGATCCTATGTAAAGCAGTCTGAAGTGAAGTAAACTTATTATCTTTTGAACTACTGTTGAATTTGTAATATTTTTTGAATATAGTCAAAAGTTGATACATAGATTCAAGCTTACAAATACTGCCTTCTGTTCAATATACAGGTTCTGAAAATCAGGCCTTGCCCCATTGTTTTTGCATCCTTTTCAGGTGGTGCAAAAGCTTGTATGTGCAAGGTTCTTCAGGTATTCTATTCTTTACTGATTTTTATGTTTTGACCATCATGCTATACAATCTTTTAATTCTAATGTCTGATGACTATGTTTTCCTTTCATCCAGATAATTAGTGGCAGCTCTGAAGCTCATAATATGGTATGCTTTCAGCCAATAGCAGTCCAGAAGATCATTGAGTTACATAGATTGTATAATTGATAAACTCATCATTTTCTTGAATTTTCTTAAATCATTTTAATGTGTGAAATGAGGCATAAAGTGTTGTATCCATACCCTGCATTCTATGTTCCATGATGTAATTGATCATATATTCCCTTTTACCAAGTATTTTGGTCAAGTTCTTGTTACATGGACTTATGTGTGTTGGACAAATGGACAGTGGTTTTTGTCCTTGTAACTCCTCACACACACACAAAAATATCTGTTCACTAATAATTTTATCTTTTATTTTCTTAACCACTTCTAAACTATTTTTCATGCACAGGATGACTACCAGCTAGTTAGAGACTGTATTTCTGGCTATATTTATGATTCAAGTCCAGTTGATTTTACCAGTGATTTGGGTGTTCGATTTCTTCTACACCCAACTGTTTTAAAAGTGTCACATCCACCAAGATTTGCTTCATGGGTTGCAAATGGCATAGCATCTGGTCTTGATTCTCTTTTCCTCAGTAGATTTGAATCACACCGTGCAGAATATTGGCAGACACTTTACTCCACCGTTGTAAGTAGCTAAATCAATAAATAAATTATTATTATTTTTTTTTTACTCAGGTCTCTTGAATTATCTGCTTATCAAATAATTATTTTGCAGAATATGAAGGTCCCCTATCTCATTCTATGTTCAGAAAATGATGATCTTGCTCCATTTCAAGTTATTTCAAATTTTTTCCAAAGACTAAAAGACCTTGGTGGAGATGTCAAACTGTTAAAATGGAGTGTCTCTCCTCATGTAGGTTGGTATCTTGGCAATTTTTTACATAATGGCACTTGAATGTGTTGGTATATACATGACAAACATATACTCTTGCTTGGAATCGAGAAATAATCACACCGAGTTATAAAATAGAAATAATCTCGTTTTTATGCCAAATTTGTGTACAAACATCAACAAATATAGGGTTTCTTCTTAACAAGGGGTTTCCTCCTTCAAACCACTAGAAATAACAATCTGTTGCCTTAGTTGCCTTCTACTCTGTCATGCAACCTATACATTACTATACCTGTCTGATGGAAACCGATAATAACTATCATGAGCTGTCATGTATTAGCAGATAGAAGAGTAATATTAATTATCATGTTGGCAGTTATGGGTAGAAGTTAGAAGCAGTAATGTATCTATCTATATTTATACAATATCTAAAAGGAATATTTCTTCCCTTAAAACTTCTTTCTCCTACTAGTTATTATAAAACGTGATACAAAATAAGTTATCCTACGTTGGATGTTCTGTATTAGAATTGGAAACTGCCTTGAATGACAATTATTCATAAAAATAATTGATGGTAGTTTTCTATTAAGGTATATTTGATAGTAGGGTGTGTACTTAGGCAGAATTGTTGTTACATGCATTTTGTAGACAGATAGTACTCTCTATAGGAGACTTTTGTCTCTGGAGTAGCAAATGTATTGCTGTATTGTTTGTGATTTATGTTCTGCATTATATTTTATCATTTTAGTCCAACCTGCCAGATAATGGAACAGAGATTTGTTAAGAGTTGAGACTAATGAGTTGATAATTTGACAATGGCTAGATTTCTGATCATGTAGATTAGGAACAATTGGTAGGACTGTGAAATGGTGTGGTGCAAATGGATAAGAGGATGGCTGACATGGGAGAGAGGCTTGTGTCTGAGATGTTGAGGCTGTTTCCGAAGAGAACAGTGGAAGAAATTGAGAATTTCAATCACAAGGGACTATAGAACAAGGGTGGATTCCAATCTTCAAGGTTTGGAAGAGTACTGTATGGCGGTTAAAAAAGTGGAACTGCTAGGCTGTGTATGGAGGGATCAAACCATACATTGGTTCAATCTGTTGAGGAAAACTGAAGACAATCTCACTTGGGAGAAATTGAAAAGGGATTTGATTGCAAGGTTTAATAATCCATAAGACGATTAACAAGCTTGTGGAGATCAAAGGAAATTTTGTGGAAAAAAGAGGCTGGCTGGCTGCAACAGTAAACTTATCGAGAGAAGTTTATGTTTTCAACATGGAGAGAAATTTCATCCTTTACACCTATGTGAGGAAAAAAAAAAGAGCTAAGGTTGGTGATTTTGGGATATAATGAAGTTCTAAAGAAAGGAGAAATAATTGCTATTGAAGTGGAGGAAGAGAGAATAAGGAAAAAGTCTTGGGGAAAAGGTTTATTTTTCAGCTGACAATGATGATGAGAACCAATAATAACTGACATGAGCAGTTATATATTATATCATTAGATCATAGTTAGCAATTATGGGCAGTAGTTAGTACCAGTAATGTATTATTAGAATGTGATAGAAAATAACTTATCCTGCACTAGCTATTTTATGTTAGAATTAGAAATTGCTTTGATTTATTCCTAGAAAATAACTGATGGCAGTTATGCATTAGGGTATATTTGATAGTAGGGTGTGTAATCAGGCAGAAGGTGTTATTATTTGTAGTTTGTGTGCAGGGAGTGTTCTGTAGGAGACTTTTGTCTCTGGGACAGCAGCAAGTCTATTGCATGTAATTTGTGCTCAGTATTATATTTTACTAGTATTTTGGCTTGTCCAATCAACAGGCTAGATATTTATTTATATAACTAAAATTTATAATAAGTTACATATACAAATAGATACTATATTTTTATTGTATACATTATATTTAAAATTTGTATAAATAAATATTTTTGAACATACAAATTATATTTTAGATTTATAATAAATAATTTATTTTGTGACACAAGATTATTTTTAATTATTAATTTATTTTAAAAAAATTAAAATTTAATATGTAAATAAATATGATAACCGTTTATGTTTAATATATAAGGGTATATTTGTTTATAGGAATTCAATTATTGTGACACCATAACATATAACTGCATAACTCAATTTAAGTAAAAATAACTTCCTAATACAGAATTATAACTGCCTACTTCAGAATTTGGCCTATCAAATACATAGTAGCTCCTATTTTGATTTTGTACTTCAAAATATAACTGCTTATTATCTTGTTTATGCTATTTTCATGGTAAACATGACGAATATTCATTGTGAGAATATCCATGTGATTCTTTTGGCGTAGACTACGGGTACATGGCTTCTACAGCAGGCATTTTATTTTGTTTAATATGTAACAGTAAAACTTGTTTTTATAAACATTTACAGTAAGTAAATATTTCTGGCATGCAACTTGCTGATCCTTTATCTTTTTTAAAAAAATTCCTGTATTTGATTTATCTAAATAAGCAACATTCATTTATGTGCAGTCTTAGTTATGTTGGTAACCTCTAAACCTTAAGATCTTCATTTTACATTCCAATTTCCAACACTAGTTTGCATCCGAAGTTCCTATTTGCAAGCTGACAGATATGCAATTATTTTTGTTGCATGTGTGTACTAAAGGAAAGAATTGGTAATTGAAATGAGTATTCTAACCTACTTATTTTTAGTGCAATGCCAGTTGCAGGGTAATATTTAAAGTGTTCCAGTTGATCAGAAATGAATGTATTGAACTTGAGTTGAATTTGTCACAGGTCATTTTCAGCATCATCCAAATGATTACACGGCTGCTATCACTGAGATCCTTGGCAAGGCAGTTGCAATTTATCGTTGCAAAACTAAACTAATTGAAGATGAGAAACTGGGTATAGAAGGAACAAAAGATGAGGTCACAGATCCGTTCTCTGAAGTGAGGAAAGCAGCAATGACCTCAACTAGTTTTCAGGGCTTTGCTCTTGCTCCAAGTGATAATTTGGCTTCTACTTCAATGGAGTATGACGTCGGTAAAGGTGTTGGCACTATAACAGATGAACGCAAGGGAGAGGGAGGGTTTGTTCATCTCCCAAGCCGTCCAAGCATCAATGCACATGGGGTTCTTGGCCAAATATTGTTTGATGTTTGTGTGCCCGAGAATGTTGAGGATTGGGATATCAGGTCAAATTCCAAGAATGCACTATTAGCAGGGGCAAAGAAGCATGTTCCATTTAATCCTATAAAATGCATTCGGCGTTCAAGGTTGTAAGATTGTTGACTGACAAAAAGCCTCAGCCCTCAGGTGAATTCTGCTTGAAGGTTTGGTGTTTTCTTAAAGGTTTAAAATTTTTAGGGATCTCTAATGGGCACAAGAGATATGTAATAGTAGTACCTGAAATAAGAGGCAAAAGGACTAATAAACTACCACCTGAGCTGTTCTTTAAACACTGGACTTTGTAATGTGATTGAGCAGCAGCTTGCCTTTTTCTTAAGGCAAATTGTACAGCTACTTCTACGGAAAAAAAAACATGTTTTGACTGAGATCACCATGACAAGAATACAGGGGGGAATTGTAATTGTAGTATAATACTGCTTGTGAGTTCAATATCAGCCTCGCTCGTTCAGAACTAAGTGTAGTTTGATATGTTGAATAAATGGAATGCTACTCGGTCTTGTACACTAGTTGGTACAAATGAATAGTACATGTGAATAGTATTTTTCGTTATATATTTTTGTATCTTTACTATAACAATGCAAGGAACTCAGCTACCGGTACTTAAGGATATGTAATGAGAGTTCGTTTAAATTCCTTCATATTTTGATTAGAGTCTATTTAGACAAACTTCTCCATAAATATTTATGGGAGGAATAAAAAGAAAAAATGAAATATTTTTTCAAAAAGTTAAGTTAGTTTTAATTTGCGGAGAAGTTTGTTTCATTTTTTTTAATATTTTTTTTTATCTTTTTATAATTGTTTATAAAGAAGTTTATTTAAATATGTCACTAATTGGGCACCTTTATCAAGTTACATAATAAATAGCTTTCTCATAAGTGAGGACATTAGTTGAAATTTCTAATCATTTATGAAATAATAATTATGACTAGTAATAAACTTTGATCGTGGTTATTGTGGTCCATGTATGTAGGTGGTGTATGGTGGTCTGTTTTCTTCACTGTTAGATTCATGTGTAGTCTATACAATCTTATAATAGGTTCCTTGTACTCGATTATTTTCATTTTTCCTTTTCTCTCCTCCCTTCTTGTAAACTTCCAATGCTTCAGTATGCATACATCCTTTAGGTTAGCACTTGTCAGGAGGCAAGCTATGTGAGAGAGGGTCAAAACAAATTAATGGAAAAGAGTGGGGAAGCGACGAAGGAAACATAACACATGGACACTGACACAAAGTTGCTCTAGAATCTCGCTTCGTTGCACATTGTAAGACTAAAAAACTTGTAGTCCTATAGGACTACGTTGTATAGAGGAGCTTCAAGTGCTTAATTGAGATCGTGCAAAGAAGTAGGTAAGCAACAAAGGCAATTGGCAATTGACTCCACGATTCTTCTAGGGGAACAATGAGTTCTAGAGTCGAAGCCCTTGTGTCTACTTGCTAGTCCACAACATTGTTAGAATGTACTTTGATTCCTCTTTGGCGCGACCATTGCCATTGAATTTGTTTCCAAGTGGGGTGGGACAAGATAGAGGAAGACCAAAGAAATAGTCTTGTGTGGTTTGGTGTAACACCATGTTCTTTCTTAAATATGTATATTTTTTATATATGTAATTAAAAATTATATTTTATGTTGTTTTATTGTTCTTAACTTATGTGGGGTGGAAGTTATAGTTGAGATAATTTTAAGCTGAAGTTATAGATGACATAAATTAAGTATGTGATAGTTGACTTGAGGTGGGTTGAAGTATATAAGACAAATTTTAAGAAATGAGCTTCATAAGTTCATAATTCTATAATTTTAGAGAGAAATTAGAGAGAAGTGTTCTAGAGCCAACAAAGTCCGATCCTTGATCCAATTTCACTGAAAGATCTCTTTCCTTCCCCCGATTGTTAACTTGTGCGATAGAAGTTGAGATTAGAGCCAATGAGCTGAAAATATTAGAGAGAAGTTTTCATATAAGAGTTTGGGGTTCTCAAGTTTTCTTTCCTTCTCCCTTGTTTTTTGGAGTACTCAAGGCAAGAAAATCTTGTAGGTTTGATATTTTTTGTTGTATATGTTGATTATCTTTTGTTAATTCATGCTTTGATAAGCATTTAAGTTAGAAATCGAAAGGTAGAACCTTGAGTTCTTTGTTCTTGAAGTTTCTTGGTGAAGAATGAGAAATGGGTGATTTGTGATGCATTTGTTATTGCATGTTGTCTTTCTTTCAAAAATTGACTTATATGTTGTTAATACATGATGGATTTTGAGTTGCACGTATGAATTGTTGTTTGGATGAGAAGATTTTAGGGCTGGTTTGTGTTCTTGAGATTGTTGCATTCGTTCTTAGATTTATGTAGGTTTTCTAGGCTTGCTTGCTCAAAGCACCCATGGGGTCACTTAAGCGAGCAAGTGGATCATTTTAGGAATGAGTCTTTAACTTGACTCGCTCAAAACAAATTTTGGGTGCTCGAAGCAAAGTCCAATCATTCTAAGCTAGTTGTTGGGTGCTCCGAGTGAGCTTTAGGACGCTTGAAGCGCTTGTTTTCCATTTGAACTTATAATTTTCTCAACTTATTTTGTTGAGTTGGTTTTTTACAAGATCCATGATGAAGATTGAATTCAGTTCATTATATATTGATTTATGATGATGTATGATGATGATGATGTTTAATTTTAAAGTTGCCTGTTGTTGAAAATGGTATGTTGATTTAAGTTGATTAAGTTAAAGTTGTATGAAGTAAAATTTTATGAAGGTAAGTTGTGAAAGTAAGTTGCTCATGATATCACAAAATACTTGAGAATGATAATATAGGATGTTGTATGAATAAGAAGCATGATGAGATGAATGAGTTGGAATGGATGATGTTAGGATTGAATGATATTTAAGTTGAAGAATATATGAAGTTGTATGTTGTAACTTGCAATAGACATTTGGTGCATGTTTTAAGTTGAAGTTGCATGAAAAACTTGAGGAAAGAAAGGTTTTTTTTTTCCTTTCCGAAAAGTTATATATCCCATTGTGTGGATATTCATTGTGGTGCTCTAGGAACCTATAGTTGAAAATTTTTCAGTGAATAAGTTGTCACTTGATTGAGAAGTTGTTTTAAGTTGTCTCCTCTAAGTTTTTTAGTTGAAACAATATGGTGGAGGCCAAACCATACTTATCATAAGTAAACATTGAGTAAGGTACATGGTCGGGGGTCAAATTCTCTATCTAAATATTAGAAAAGTTCATAGTATTTAGAGGGTAATCGACAAGTTAATTTTATATAGATTTAGTTATCCATGTGTTGAGATTTTCGTTGAAGTACTTTTGTTATAATTGTTACTAAATTGTATTGAAAATCTTAACTTCTTTTCTTTTGTAATTTGTACCTTGGAGTTATGATTTATGAGTTACGAACGTGAATCTTCTACCTTATGATATTTGAAACAATTGTTTATACATGAAAGATGGTACCAAACTATGAAAGATTTTATTTACCCAAAAAGAAGAAAAGAAAAATTTTATTGTTATATTTGTTGTATATTAATATTGGGGTAGAGAGTGTCACAGGAAGCCAGGGTGTTAAATGAGTCGATTGAGTTTGGTGGGAGCCAAGTAAATCGGCTCAGTGCTTATCCTTTAAGGGAAGTAGCAAAGATACGACATAACTCTGTGTCATTTATTGTGCTTAAGGTAACCTAGGTGAGGAAGACATCTATATGCTCATCAGGGTCTAAAGTTCCATCATATCGGTTCAATAGGAGGGATTTCCAATGGTGCTTGCATGATAGAAAAGACAAAAAGATGTCGATGGGGCCTACCAGGATATTTTGGTTGTGTCGATTGAGGGTTGGCATTGTCGGCGTGGTTTGCCCTAATGTTGCCAAAGAGAGACTACCTCGGAAAAATTCGTTTTACTCCAAATCGAGGTCGAGTACGAACCTCAATACGTTCATCCGAGGTCGAGTACGAACATCGGCAAAATTCGATTCACTCCAAATCGAGGTTGAGTACGAACCTAAATAGGTTCATCCGAGGTCGAGTACGAACCTCGGCAAAATTTGTTTTACTCCAAATCGAGGTCGAGTACGAACCTCAACACGTTCATCCGAGGTCGAGTACGAACCTCAGCAAAATTCGTTTTACTCCAAATCGAGGTCGAGTACGAACCTCAATACTTCATCCGAGGTCGAGCACGAACCTCGGCAAAATTTGTTTTACTCCTAATCGAGGTCAAGTACGAACCTCAATACGCTCATCCGAGGTCGAGTACGAACATCGACAAAATTCGTTTCACTCCAAATCGAGGTCGAGTACGAACCTCAATACGTTCATCCGAGGTCGAGTACGAACCTCGGCAAAATTCGTTTTACTCCAAATCGAGGTCGAGTACGAACCTCAATACGTTCATCCGAGGTCGAGTACGAACCTCGGCAAAATTCGTTTTACTCCAAATCGAGGTCGAGTACGAACCTCAATACGTTCATCCGAGGTCGAGTACGAACCTCA